TCTAGCTAGGCCGCTTTTCCCTTCACATTCCTTATACCTCCATGCACGCCGCGACCCCGAGAAAGCCTCTGTCTACTTTCTCTCTATCCTGACGAGCTGGCCGCTGATTGGTCCGTCGTCCGCATACCATATACCTCCCTAAGAGAAGGGGTTCTGTCGATCCGAGCAGTGCGTGCGAGGTGGAAGAAAAGTTGCGAAAACTGTCATGGCGGACTTTTCAGCCAACCGACGGTCTCCATTCCGAAAAATTCGCAAACGGAGAGCGGTGGTTGGCTGAAAAGTCCGCCATGACAGTTTTGGCTCCTATTTTTCGTACGCTTCGCCTCGCTCTGTCTCCCTCAGTATAAAAGGTGCTGGCGTCGCGCTGAACAGGCAGTTCTCAGTTCTCACAAATTAATCAGTCATCATGTCTGGTAGAGAGAGAGAGACCCGCTGTCCCTCTGTGTGTTGCCGCGTGTCCACTCGTGTGCTCCTTTGTGCGCTGTCGTGTGTCCCTTCCTCCGTGTGGTCAGTCGTGATATGGATATTGGTAGGGTAAGTGAGGACGGAGCAGCTAAACGTAGAGATACTAGGCCGCTTTTCCCTTCACATTCCTTATACCTCCATGCACGCCGCAACCCCGAGAAAGCCTCTGTCTACTTTCTCTCTATCCTGACGAGCTGGCCGCTGATTGGTCCGTCGTCCGCATACCATATACCCTCCCTAAGAGAAGGGGTTCTGTCGATCCGAGCAGTGCGTGCGAGGTGGAAGAAAAGTTGCGAAAACTGTCATGGCGGACTTTTCAGCCAACCGACGGTCTCCATTCCGAAAAATTCGCAAACGGAGAGCGGTGGTTGGCTGAAAAGTCCGCCATGACAGTTTTGGCTCCTATTTTTCGTACGCTTCGCCTCGCTCTGTCTCCCTCAGTATAAAAGGTGCTGGCGTCGCGCTGAACAGGCAGTTCTCAGTTCTCACAAATTAATCAGTCATCATGTCTGGTAGAGAGAGAGAGACCCGCTGTCCCTCTGTGTGTTGCCGCGTGTCCACTCGTGTGCTCCTTTGTGCGCTGTCGTGTGTCCCTTCCTCCGTGTGGTCAGTCGTGATATGGATATTGGTAGGGTAAGTTGATATTTTCTTGCTCCGGTGGGATGTGTTGCGTTGCGTTGCGTTGTGATTGATGTGTTGTAGCAGTGATTTGTTATTGATGACGATGTGATTGGAATACTAATAGTGATGTGATATCGATTGTGTTGGGATATCGAGGCTTTGCCGGGAGCGAGCGCCGCAGTCGACGAAATTGTCATTTCTATCGGGAAATCGGCCTCCTCCCGAGTAAAAACGGACAGGGGATCGCAGTTTGCCCCGGCCGCCGGGAGTGCCCATAGTGCCCCGCAACAGTGCCCCGACCCTTGCCTGTGCACCGGGGTCCGTTGGCAGAGGTGTGTGGGCGCAGTGGTCCGTTGGCGGAGGTGGGGGTCCGTTGCCAGAGGTGCCTGGGCCTAGGGTGTTCCCCGCACCCACAGTCGTCGCTGCCGGGCCCCCGCCGGCTCACTGGCACCGGAAGCACACGGTGGACACCTTGGGACACTCACAGAGCGCCAACCAAGGGCCCGGGGGGCGCCCACCGAAACGCAACCGTCACTGGGATTTCGGCAAATTTACCCAGAAATTGGGCTCTGGCCGGGATATCGAGACCTCGCCGGGAGCGAGCGCCGCGGTCAACAAAATTGTCATTTCTATCGGGCGATCGGGCTCCTCCCCTGTAGAAACTGGGCGGAGAACGCAGCGAGATCCGACAGCCGGTGACTGCTTCGCTTGCGCCCCGGCCCTAGGACGCCGACACACGTGCGTTGGGGTCCGTTGGCAGAGGTGCCTTGGGTCCGTTGGCAGAGGTGGGAACTTTGTCTTTTTTTTTCGATGATTTTTTTTTTTACACGCACACACACCAAAGCACTCACCCCTTTCCTGTTCAGTATTTTTGTTTCTCACCCTTACCGCCGGACAATCTTGCCCGCCAACAACATCAACTCTATTTGTGTAAACACACACACACACACACACACACACACACACACACACACACACACACACAATGAGAGAGATACACGTGCATGCACACACATACGCAATAATTGACTACCCATAGCCCATGCTCACACTTGTACGCCTATCCTTCACCCCCAGCCCGCCACCAACATCGACTCTATTGTTTTGAACAAACATACAGCACACAACTTCTCTGTATGCATTAGGACTATTACTATATCACCCTGTGCATCTGTCCGTGTTTCTCCACTGCACTGTAGACTTGTAAAAGGAAAAAGGAGAGACGGAGATAGAGAAGCAGACAGTTAACTTCTAATTCTAATCATGTTATTAGTAATTACGGGGAACAACCAATCAGATCGTCATCAATAACAAATCACTGCCACGACACAACAATCACAAAGCAACGCAACACATCCCAACCGGAGCAAGAAAATATCAACAAACCCTACCCGTATCCATATCACGACTGACCACACGGAGGAAGGGACCCACGACAGCACAAGGGAGCACACGAGTGGACACGCGGCAACACACAGAGGGGCAGCGGGTCTCTCTCTCCCTCTGCCCGCGGCTTGCCCTTTATATACTTGAGGAGGCGCGACCAACAACAACAACCAATACACACACACACACAGGTGGGGTGGGGTGGGGCACAACAACTCAAAACTCAGCAAATTAACAGCATCAATAGGGAACTCGGTTTGGTCCTGAAAAGGACCGTTCGTTTTGTCGGCCGGTGATCGCTGTTCCTCGCTGGATGAACCAGATGAGAAGTGAGCTCGCTTAGGCACGCTCTCCACGGATACGTCTTGCCAACTGGATGTCCTTGGGCATGATCGTCACACGCTTGGCGTGGATGGCGCACAGGTTGGTGTCCTCAAACAGACCCACGAGGTAAGCCTCGCTAGCCTCCTGCAGAGCCATGACGGCAGAGCTCTGGAACCGCAAGTCGGTCTTGAAGTCTTGTGCGATCTCACGAACAAGGCGCTGGAACGGCAACTTGCGGATCAGCAGCTCGGTGCTCTTCTGGTAACGACGGATCTCACGCAGAGCCACGGTACCGGGCCTGTAACGATGAGGTTTCTTCACACCTCCGGTGGCAGGGGCCGACTTACAAGCAGCTTTGGTAGCAAGCCGCTTGCGAGGGGCCTTGCCACCCGTGGACATGCGAGCGGTTTGTTTGGTACGTGCCATTCTTTCGAATTCAGAATGTGATACTTAGAGGTTCCCGTCAACAGCGGAGGCTTATATAGGGGACCACGACCGAGAATCTTGGCGCCAAGGGTGCCCTGCCGCACCATTGGTCCATTCAGGGTCGAGTCGCAGCTGATTGGTCGAGAGCCCGGTCCTCTGCAGCTTTATTTTCAAGTTTCGTCATGACACGACACCGTTCTGTCTTGGTGCTTTTCAGACAGACATAAACACACACACACACACACACGTACACACACACACACACACACACACACACACACACACACACACACACACACA